AAAAAAAAAAAGACAAAGGGGAGGCCTTGGAACCTCTAGAACAATGATTTTCAACCAGTGTGGCATGAAAATTATTATTTTATTTATTTTTGTAGAGACAGGGTCTTATTTTATTGCCCTCGGTAGAGTGCTGTGGCGTCACACCTCACAGCAACCTCCAACTCCTGGGCTTAGGCGATTCTCTTGCCTCAGCCTCTTGAGTAGCTGGGACTACAGGTACCTGCCAGCCTGGCTATTTTTTTTGTTGCAATTTGGCCAGGGCCAGGTTTGAACCCACCACCTTTGGTATATGGGGCTGGCACCCTACCCACTGAACCACATGTGCTGCTGAAAATTTTAAAGATCATTAATTAAGGGTGGTGCCAGTGGCTCAAGAAGTAGGGCGCCGGCCCCATATATCAGAGGTGGCAGGTTCAAACCTGGCCCTAGCCAAAAACTGCAAAAAAAAAAAAAATCATTAATTAAATTATTTTCTAAAGAAGTTCAAAGGACAGTAAGTATGTCCTTTTTTTTGGATGAACATAATTTAAGTGTGCCATGGAAGTTTAACTTAAAGGTTGAACTTATAGGTTCAAGGGTACCGTGAGATAAAAACGTTAAAAAAAAAAAAACACTGCTGTAGGAGAACCAGAAAGCCAGGAACAAAGTCTTGGCACCCAGAGATACTACCAAGACAGATCTAGCCAAAACTCCACAGAGGTGTGAGCATTCATCTGTGGTAACAAGTTGTACCACAGGCCCCACCAGGATGGGGTCTGTGCAGTCCCTGCTTCTCACTCCAAGTCTGACTAGCAGAACCAGATCCTGGACCTACCCTAAGCTGCATGCAGGGGCCCTGGGAAGCCAGCATGGTGCATGAATCACTATGGTGGGATGGGGGGTTGTCTCAAGGTGATTCCATGCTGGGCAGCCTGATGTTGGCCACAGTCCTAGTTCCTATGTGTCTAAAAACCGTCATTACTGACACAGGCCCCAGCCAGGGCACTCTGTGTCATGGGACCAGGTAGGCAAGACCTTAGGGGTGTTTCACAGATGTTCTTACAAGTAACCTGCCCTGAGGTCAATTCCAGGTAAAAAAGGACAATGCTCCTTTCCTGAGTGAGGAAGGCTCACAGTCCCCTTGTCCCTGATGCCCAAAGCAGGAAGACGGATAGTGACACCCCTATATCCCAGGCAAAAAGCACTAACAATCTCCACATCCTTCCCAGATGACTGAGATCAAACTATCCGGGGCCAGAGTGAGCAAAGCGGCTAACTGCATGAGGATAAGGAGGGTTCACTGAGGGCCAAGTCAGGTAGGTGAGCCAGGGAGAGAAGGCTGGCCCAGGGATCGCTACATGGTGCGGAGCATCTTAGCAGGGCACTTCACATTACCTGTCCCAGAAATGCCCGGGCGAGGGTGACTGCCGGCTGGTCGAAAAATTCCAACCCTAGTCGGGTAAGATTGCCCTTTGGGCTTGAGAAATAGACACTGCAGTAAGGGCCCAGGGTCGTGGGCAGTTCCACACACGGCTCCTTGAGAGAATGTGTCTGGGCTGTATCTGACGGGCTCTGTGGCTGCTCTGCCTCTGCCAGTCGCTGTTTTTTTTGCCTCATCCTTCGGGAAAGCTGTAATGGGAAAGAAAAAATTTAAGCAACTGAATAAGAGAGAACAGGCAGTTGTGTGGTGAGGTAAGGGAAGTCAAGGACCAGATCTGACCACCTGCTTCAGTTTCTTCATCTGCAAAGTGGGGGTGACCACCTTGTGGTTATGAGGCACACACAGAATACCATACCTGGGGTTCATGCCTGTAATCCCAGCACTTGGGAGGCCAAGGCAAGTGGATTGCCTGAGCTTACGGGCTAGAGACCAGCCTGAGCCAGAGGGAGATATCTCTCTAAAAATAGCTGGGCATTGTGTAGGGAGCCTGTAGTCCTAGCTACTGGGGAGGCTGAGGCAAGAGAATCGCTTAAGCCCAGGTATTTGAGGTTGCTGTGAGCTATGACACCACCGCACTCTACCTAGGATGACAAAGTGAGACTCTGTCTCAAACAAATAAAAAGAAAAAAGAATACCATACTTGACACACAAAACACTTGGCCTTGGAGGCTTCAGAAACAAACCACACCTGACAACGTGCTACTGCCAGTGGCAGGGCAGCCACTCTGTTGCAAGTGCCCTGATCATGAGTGAGATGCTTGATGCGGGGCTTGAGCCTGGGACAGAACTGGTACCCTCTGATTCACACTAATCATGTGGACACCAAGTAAGCTTGTGAACTGGTTTCTGGAATCCTGCTGTTTGCACCCAACACTGGCCAGGAATTTAAAAACACAGCTGAGGGCTGGGTGTTGAGGCTCACACCTGTAAACTTAGCATTCTGTAAGGCTAAGGCAGGTGAATTGCCTGAACTTTTAAAGTGAGACTGTGTCTCCACTAAAACAGAGAAACTAGTCGGGCATTCTGTGTGTGTGGGGGGTACCTATAGCCCCAGCTACTTGGGAGGCTGAGGCAAGAGGATCGCTTGAGCCTAACAGTTTGAAGTTGCTGTGAGCTATGATGCCAGGGCACTCTGCCCAGGGTGACAGTGAGACTGTCTCTAAACAAACAAACAAATAAATAAATGAAAACAGCCAGCCTGGCCCAGAAACAGATTGTGAGTTTTCTCCACTTAATGTCCAACTGACAGGGGCTCTCACTGTACCAGACTCTTCAGATTGCCCAAAAGGCCTGACAACACAGATGGGAGAGCGTGAGGCTGACCACTGGCCTAGCTCATCACCTAGTGCTTGTGGAATGACCCCTGTGGGTCCCCAACTGTCCTCTGCTTCACTGCCCAAGACAGAAAACAATGAGCAAGTGGGCAAAGGCAGGTCTGCAGAGACCCCGCAGACCGGCCATCACCCACCTGCCGCCACAGAGCCAGAGGAAATCTGGTCACAAATCCCAGCTGTTCTGGGGAAGCCACTCAAGGGCAGGTCTTCAACGGTACCCGAGTACTCCCGGCATGTGAGACTCGTTATTTTTAACATCAGTGCTGACGTTCGTGGTGAACCAAGACCGCCAGCCGGCCAGCCGGGAATGGATGCTGACGTGACCGTCTCCGCAGCCTGGCCCACTCTGCCAACATTCGTCGTGGGCTCGGAATCCGGGACGCTGCGGCTCCTGCTCTCAACCCAAGTTTGGCTCTTGGCCAGCCCATGGCACTGAGGCCACTCTGGGTCCCGCCCTGACTCCGTTTGCGCGGCGGGACTAACAAGGCATTGGGGACGCTCCTCAGGACCCGGCCGGCCTGTACCCACGTCGCTGAGGCTCCGCAGGCTCTGGTCCCCGCAGCTTATGGCTGCGCCGCTCGGGGCGCGCGTCTGTCTGGCGGGGCGGCCGAGAAGCGCGTTCACTTGGACGCGCACTCACCTGGGACACCCTGCACGCGGACATCCCGAAGCTCGGGCCACAGGGGTCGCGGGGCTGGTACCCTAGACAGACCCCGTCCTTCTGCCCACTCCGGAAGTGCCGCCAGGCCCGGGGGCGGGGCAGACGCATGCGCGGCAGGGGAAGGAGGCGGGTCGGGGGTGGAGCGGCGGGGGATACGCCCTCAGAGGGGGTGGGCCGGCCAGGCGGGCAGCTCGGAGGTGGGTCCGCCCTCCTGGCTTCCGCTCCGCAATCTGGACCCAGAGCCCGGAGCTCGTGGCGAGAGCCAGGAGGTGGCAGCTGGAGCCCTCTCCCACTGTGTCCCAGTGTCCTTCCCGTGACCCACTCTCTGCCCCCACCTGTGCGCTCTGGTCACCCGGCAGCCTCAGAGCCCACTCCACCAGCCGGTGGTCAGACCACCAAGAGGACGGGGCCGTTATGAACCTTGACTGGGTCCTCCCTCGAGGGGCCCCGCCACAGATGTAGTGCTTCGTGGGAGGGGGGAGGATCCAGGCGGTTCGGGATGGTGGTGGGTACTTGTGGTGTGTGCGTGTGAGGCCGCAGCCAAGCCCTGATCCATGGGATCTTTGAGGGGAGAGGGAGTGGTCAACTCCGGCCAGTGGGAGGAAGTAAAGAAAGAGTGGCGGGATTCTGTGAGTGGAGCCCCTATCCCGTCCGCCCACATGCTGGGTTGGGTGTCTGGAGCCTGGCCTGCCTGTCTCGGAAGTCTGAGGCCAGGACTAGGACTCCGGGATCCGTGAACACCCGCCTGGCAGTGCAGCTGCCCTGCATCTCTGAAGCCCAGTGACCCTGCACCTGCCCACCTTACCTGGCTAGGGCACCTCTCTAGCCAGATTGGTGCCCTCAAGGAGGAGGAGGGAAGCCTGGCTCGGAGGAAGGGATCAGAAGGGGGTCCCAAGTGGGAGGGGCACACTCCTGGCTCCTGTGGCTCTGTGGCAGCCCCAACACCCAGCAGAGCCATCCCTCACCCCACTCTGCATTTTAGGGTTTATCTGGGTTCCAAGGACCTCTGCTGCAGCTGGCAGAATCCCTTTTCCACAATCCACAACCCACCTCTGCCCTGTAGCACCCTTAAGGCGCTTGTCCTGAGCTCTCTTTGATTTCTGTGACTCTAGCCCTGGAAAGAGGTACCTTAAAGGCCTCAAAGAGCAATTGGGTGTCTAACATGCCAGATGTTAGATGCTGGGCAGAGGCATAGGCCATGTTTTGGGGACTGTCAGGTGAGCAAGACAGATGGTCCCAGGGTAAAGCCAGCAGGGCTAAACCCTGATCTCCAACTGTTTGTCCTCTTCTGACCAGCTCAGGGGCTGAACTCTGGCCCAGGCTGGAGCCCCGCTGTCCCACCCCCATGAGCCCCAACCAGGACTTCCTGGGGAGGGAGGGACCACTGCTTGCTGGAAGCTACCCAGCTGTGTGTGGCACTGTGCTTCCGGGGGTGAGGGGCAATGTGTCATGAATACATGCTTGTGAGGCAGGCCTGGATGTGACCCCACCCTCCTCCTCCTTGTCCATTCCCACCAAACAATGACTCCCTTCCTGTGGGAATAGTACCACCATCCTTCCCCCACAATCTAAGAGGGAAACTGAGGCCCCTTCTGAGCCCTTGTCTTCCCCATGAGGGCAGGGAGAGAGCGGGTGTTGTTTTGTACTAATATTTATTCTGATTTTACAAATATGCCTGGTTCTCGTAGAAATCATGGGGGAGTCTACAGGCTCCCAGAGAGGTGTTTTATCCCTACCTTTCAGATGGGGAAAGAGAGACTCATTCAGTGGGTAGCCTGGCCCCTACCAAGAGGAGGAGCTGGGGCCTGTGCCAGCAACCCACTTCTCCAGATGTTCTGAGTGAGTGTGTATATGGGGGAGGGGGGACTTATGCAATCTCTGCCACCTCCCCTGCTACCCTCTCTCCAGCTCACTTCCTGATTTGTTGTCCACTGCTGGTGGAAGTAGTAGTAGGCTGAACATTCCCACCATGGCCCACAGAGTGATCTGGCAAACTAGCCAGGGGCAAGATAAGGTGATGCCAGGTGAGAGGAAGTGACTGGAGTTCCTCTGTCCCCAGTGTGCCCTGCTGCTGGACTAGGAGAGGCTTTTTAGAAAAGGAAAGGATGTCAGTGGAAGATGGAGGTGAGGATACCCTTGGTCTTTGAAAGGATTCAAGGATGGGATCAATGCTGGGGTGAGCAGCTCTGTCCTGCTTGTCCCCTGCAACAAAGGCTTTGGAGGGCTGGAGCTGCCTCTAGCTGTGGCATCCATCCCTGCAGCCTTTTCTTTTTTCGATACAGAGTTTCACTATGTCACCCTTGGTAGAGTGCTGTGGCATCAGAGCTCACAGCAACCTTGAACTCTTTGGCTTAAGTGATTCTCTTGCCTCAATCTCCCAAGCAGGTAGGACTACAGGTACCCACCGCAACACCTGGCTATTTTCTTTTTTTTTTTTGGTTGCAGTTGTCATTGTTGTTTAGCAGGCCCAGGCCACGCTTAAACCTGCCAGCCTTGGTGTATGTGGCTGGCACCCTACTCACCGAGCTATGGACACCATGCCCATCCCTGAAGCCTTGATAAGCAAGCCCTTGAGAGAGGATGACTTTAGTGGCCACTGAGGCCGGGGTGCTGAGCACACTGACTCAGCCTTCTCTCTAGTGGAGGGGTGGCTGGTAGCTTTTGAGTAGGGATTGGGTCAGAACCCAGTGGGCTTTTACACATATCTGTCTCAAGCACCCATCTGGCAGCTGTTTAGTAGGGTGGCTGCTGGCCTCCTGAAGGACCTGTGAGTCCCTCTGTGTCTGATGGGCCCTGGGGAGGGGGATGTCAAGTTTCTTGGGCAGGCTCAGTGCCTGTGGCTCAAGTGGCTAAGTCACCAGCCACATACACCTGAGCTGGCAGGTTCGAATCCAGCCCGGGCCCGCCAAACAACAATGAAGGCTGCAACCAAAAAATAGCCAGGCATTGTGGCGGGCACCTATAGTCCCAGCTGCTTGGGAGGCAGAGGCAGGAGAATTGCTTGAGCCCAGGAGTTGGAGGTTGCTGTGAGCTGTGATGCCACAACACTCTACCCAGAGTGACAGCTTGAGGCTCTGTCTCAAAAAAAAAAAAAAAAAAAAAAAAGAAAGTTCCTTGGGCAATAAAGGGGAGCTACTAGGCTGCTGAGGAGTATTTGGCTGTACCCTCCCTTCTTGGGCTGTGTTGCCAGGGCTGCTGGGCTGTGGGCCGAGGTGCTTATGGGACCCTCTTGCTAAGCTCTGGGCCATAAAGAGGGGCAGAATAGCCCATGGCTTTAGGCCACTGGCTGGCCTGTCTCATGTCTACCTCCTCCTATCCCTGCAGCTATGGTCCCTAAGCAGGGCCAGTTTCTTCTGAGGCCCCTCAGACCTTCCAAAGCCAAGGGAATGGCTCTCTGGGGTGACTGCTCATGGCCTAGAAACTGAGCTGAGGACTCCAGGGTAGCTGTTAGGGACTCCTCTTTCTGGTTAGGGGTCCCGTGTCTTCATATTCTGGAGTGAGGTCCACAAGCCCTGACAGGTCCAGACACACCCATCCTCAGGTGCCTGCCCACTAGCTCTGGCATTGCTGGCAACAGCTGCTGATTTTAATTTTTCTAGGGTGAATGAGCGGGTGAGAGGGGAAGACAGGTTTCCATGTTGGGGCTCCTCCACCACAGCATAGGGTAGTAGGGCAGGCATGAGGTAGAGCCCAGTGGTGCAGAGCACATGTATAGGCACAGATGTGTCCATGTGGACCAGCCACAGGCCTGAGCCCATGTGTATCAGCAGCCCTCTGCTCACATCCTTCTCCGACATCCTCATTCAGGTTGGAGTGGGTAGAGCCTGGGGATTAGTGACACAAACTGGGATGGGGATTTGCCTGCAGAGGTGTGCTAGGATTGCGTTCTTGAGAACAACACCTATGAGGGTCAAGGGAGCAGGGTTTACAACAGAGGCCACTGTGGGTCCCACAGACCTTGGGCTCTGATGGGGTTCTTGGGAGATAATCCTGGATGAACACAGTGGGAAGCCTTTTGCCTGCTTCTAGGTACAGACTGCCTTCTGTGTGGAGGGTGCATTACTTTGGAAAAGGCAGCTCTCCATCAAAGATGACTCCTGGGTGGTGGTGGGGTGTTTCAGCTGTGGCTGGTGCTCAGGGAAGTGGAGATGAGTGTCTGGGTCTTAGAGCAGGTCTGGGTGGTACCCAGTGTCCACTGCAGGAGACCTGCTGACACTAGATGCCCAGCTGTGGTATGCTTTGGAGGCAAGCCCAGACCCTGGCTTTCCAGAGAGGACCACTGCCAGCCAGTCTGGGCATCCAGGCCAGGCAGGGCTTACTTATCCTTGGCAGGGGTCAAGAATGCTAGGCATGGAGACTGTCCTCTCTCTGGCTGTGCTATGAGGCTGGCATGGGAGGGGCACGTGCAGCCTGTAGGGACCAGGCAGCCTCCCTCTTAGCTAATGTCCCCAATGCACCAGCAGTCACCTGCCATGAGGGAGCTCTTCTCTACCTCTCCAAAGCTTTCACTGCCCTTCCCAGGGAAGAACTGTGTTCACAGAAGATCTGCTATGTGCAGCCCCCCGCAACAGTCCTATGGTATGAACAAGACGTGGGCAGAGGATTCTGCCTGTTGCTGAGCACAAGGCACCTTTAGTTCTCATTGTCAGCTTTATTTTCTGTGTAGCCAAGGGCCAGGCCATTGTCTGTGGTGGGCACCGGATGCACCTTTGGCAGTAGCAACTCGGTTTGAGAGTGCTAGTGCCTTCTAGTCCCAGAGTATGTGGCTGAAGCAGCAGCCTTGTGAGCAAGACACAGCCTTAGGACATGTTTATAGACCCTCCAAGGCCTGAGGGGGCACCCAGTGGAAGGGTCTGTAGGGACCTGTAGCAAGAAAGGAGCCCCTAGTACCCACTACTGAGAGGAAAACTGGGCCCCTCTGCCACTCACACTCCTGGATAGCCTGGTCTATGGCCTGCTGTTGGCACCCCATCCCCTACTCCTTTTCTCTGGCTGGGTCAGCCCACCCAATGTCCAGAGAGAAGACTGCTGGGGAACTCCCACATGCAGACCCAGCTGAAAGCAGATGGGCCATTTTGTATCTAATTCAGAAAGTTCAGGGTTACGTCAGGTGGGGGTGATGGTTAAGCTCTGACATAAAGGGAAGAGAACAGAGTGGACACCAGAATTGTGCTGCTGCCTCTGCTTAGTAGCTTCAGGAGGGCTGGGTGCAGCCTGGCCTCAGAGCACCTACAGGGGTGTAGGGGGGAGGTGGGGGGGAGGGATAGGGGTCTGGGGAATGGGTGACTTCTCTGAACCTGACTTGGATGTGGGTGCATGTATTGTGAGTGTGTCCAGATGAATATGAGTGTGTGTGTGCGCGCACATGTGAAAATATGTGAGCATATACCCAGGAAAGTGTGTGCAGGAGTAGGTGTGTGCATGTGTAAATGAATGCACAGGCGTGTGTGTGACTGAGTGGTCGGGAGCGTGTGCACGTGGATGTATGCGAGGTAATGTCAGTGGTTGTGAGGGACTGAGTGCGTGCGGGTAAATGATTTGTCAGTGTGGGTACTAAGGGGATACAGCGACACTCTCCCATCCCACACCCTCCTCCCTCATGTGCTCCTCCTGCCTCACTCCCCATCTTCTCAAGCACAAGTGAAGGCAGGATGAGGTCAAGACTTAGTCTGGAGTCAGACCCCAGGACTGCTGTTGACCACCAGATTCCACCACGCCCTCCCTCCTGGACCAAGAAGCTCGCCACCCACAGCCACAGGTGTCCCCGGCCGGACACTGGGAAGAGCAGACTGCTGCCTTCCTGGAGGAGGCGACTTGGGCCAGGCGGGCGGGCGGCGCGCATTCCTGAGCCCTGAGTCAGCGCAGCCGCCCCCTCGGCCGGGCCCGCCCCCGGCGCGCACGCCCCTCGTCCATGGCATTCCCGGGCGGGCCGGACCGGAGGGAGGGCGGGCGCACGGGCGGGGACTCGGTGCTAGCGCTCTCCAGGCCAGCGCTGGTGGCCCCTCGCCGACACCCTGCGGACCCTTGGAAGACCCTGGCGGCGGCGGCGGTGAGCGGGTGCGGCTGGGAGCCGGGCGCGGGGTCCGCGGGCGGGCGGTTTGCGGGGCCGTGTCCGCCGAGCGCGGCCCGTCTTCAGCCAGCCGCGTTCGGAGCTGCTCAGAGCCGCGGGAGTCGCGGTGGGATCGGGCCGGGCCTGGGGCCGGACTGTGGCGAGTCCCCGCTCGAGGCGGCCGGACTTTCCTTCTCGGAGTTTCCAGAGCTGCTTGCGGAGGCGGCCCAGCCCTGATTCCTAACCCGGCGCGCCGCAAAAATAGATTGTGGCCGGATTAGCATGTCCCCGCGGCCTGACCCGCCGGACAGCGCGGCTCCAGGCCCCGCCCGACAGCTGAGGGTCCCGGGAGCTGAGGACTCGGAGTCGGCGGCATTCCCTGGTCCCCCCCTCCACCGACGTTTTCCTTCCCGGCCACCGCCGGTGGGTGGTGTCTACAAGGCGAAACTCCAGCTCAGAGGGTGGGACTTCTCGGATAGTCCCTATCCCAGCCGTTCTCGCCCAGTGGGAATAACAGCGGCAGCTGTGGAGCTAGGGGTGGGGGCTGACCTTAGCTGCAGCTTCACAGCAGCCCCTCCCCCAACACGAGAACTCTGAGATCAGGGTGGGCTGGGAGCTCCTCCCAGAGACATCCCCCTCCCTGTGCTCGGCGGCCCCGAGCGGCAGGGTGGGGCTAGAGGCCACTGTCTAGTGCCTTGAAGCAGGCCTTCTCCTTGCTGGGGTGACAGCCAGGCCCCAGGTGCTCAGGGCACTGGGACTGGGTTTGGCTGTCTGCCCTGCTGGGGGCATGTTTGTGGGGATGGGTGGGGAGTGGGCAGGGCATCCCGAAGCCAGGCCTGCCCCCAGCCCCGATTGGGACTGTGTCTGTGTGTCTGTGTGGATGGGGCCTGGGTCTGAAGACCCTAGCAGGGACCCCCCCCCGGCAACTTCCTGTTGGAGACCAGGAGAAGATTCAAGGATGAAACAGGCTTTTCAGGTTTGACCCAGCTAGATGCCTGGGCAGTCCCAGGCTGGGTTCTCCCCACCCTTATGGAGCCAACCTCAGCCCTATAACCCCCAGCCCAAGATTGGGAGGAAGCTGGGGAACCAAGCAACTGCCTGGGTCTCAAGGAGTCCCTGAGGCTGAGCCCCCTGCCACCAGATGTCACTCTGTCACTTTTCCTGAGAATGGGGCAGGGCAGGTGGGGGGCATAGGAGTCAGGTAGTTCGACATTGAAGATAGTGGGCTTCAGACATATTTCCAGCTCCTCCAAGCAGCCTCCAGCAAAAGGTAGCAGAGTGAGGGGCACTGTGGCCATCATTCTTTGTCCAGTATCAGCCAGCTGACCAGACAAATCCCCACCCTGGGGAACTGATTTTCTAGGGGGGCCTTTGGTTCAGGGGTAATCCCCCAGGCTTCCTTGGACTTTCACTATCTCTGTTGCTCCTGTGTGGTCTCAGCCCCTCCCTTACATCAGCTCCAGTGCCCCACTTCTTTTTTCTTTTTTTTTT